CCCCCCCCCCTATTTTGTATAAAAAAAAAAAGATTATTGGAAGCATTTTGTAATTTTACACCTTGTTGTGTGTTGCTTTTAAATAATTTGTTAAATACCATGTGTGAAAGTAGCATTAGAAAGAATTGTAGATTGTCACAATTGTAATGTTTAAGAACGCGCATACTTTTGACTAAACTAATTGAGACACAAAAGGTTAGCGTGGTACATGTTATGCGACGAGACGATGGGGACATAAACCAGAAAGTGTTAAGCATGAATGTGGATGGCTACAAAGGAAGAGGAAGACTGAAGAAAGTATGGATGGATTGTGTGAAAGAGGATATGATTAAGAAAGGAGTGGTTTTAGATATGACGGCTGATAGAGATGTATGGAAGCAGCACATACTGTGCCGACCCTCCATAAGGGATAAGGGCAAGTTGATAATGATGATCATACTTTTGACTAAATTATCGCACAACTTATGTAAGTACACTACTCGATTTTTATTCGTACAATGACCGAAATAATCGACAATCGCGCACAGTTTTGCGATAGTTTAGTAAAAGGTTCGACCGCTCTGAAGATTTCATACAATAGTTTATGTAGGAGCCATTAAAATACTGCTTTCTCGTGTTCTAATAATTTCTATTTTTCAGGTTCACTAGTATCATCGATTCTAGCTATAGGGGCCGCATTAAGCGCGTTGCCAGCTGGTGTGTTAGTCCAGCGCATTGGTAGACGGCCGACTATATTGCTGCTTGCTGTACCCTTCATGGTCAACTGGTTATTGACAATTTTCGCCAACGGAGCTGGTATGCTGATCGCAGCTAGATTCTTCGCTGGTATTGCTACTGGTAAGTGTTTTGTTATTTTTTATTTACTTTTCTAAACACATTTTATACAATAGTCTTTTAATTTAGGTTCTTAAACCTAGATTTGTGAGAACCCTGCACATTCTTATTGGGTAGTTTGCTTTTTTTACTTGCGACGGATACGCCTTACGCGTTGCTAACAAACTAGGGACTTGAGTCATTACAAATTATAATTAAATGAGGTGAGCCATAAAACTATAATTTAATTTATATGCATATGTAACATAGTATAGAATATTGTTAATTGTAGGTCGTTTTTAGGTTTAGAACTTATTAAGTTTTTATTCAATCAGTTTTCTTAAACTTAAACGTCATTTTAAAGTGGAAATAATCTTCCGTAGCGATAACTTTATGTTTAGCGAGTTCTTAAACAACCAACAAATTACTCAAAACATAGTTGTTACTAGATTTGAAAACCTAGAGTTTAAACGTGGATTTAATATTTAATTGTAAAACTGTACCACTAAAGCCAGTTTTAGTACATTTTTACGTTTTACGTTTCCTATCAAGCTTTAAACCACTCTAAACTATAAATCAGGCAAGAATCAAATAAAATGTGGAAAGTATATTTTCTGTATCAATTCTTTGACCTATATTCCTGCTTTTTCCAGGTGGCATTTGCGTAACAGCACCGATGTACATCGGTGAGATAGCAGAGACCTCTATCCGAGGGTCTTTGGGCGCGTTCTTCC